CTCATGGAAAACCCTTTTCGCTCCGCTTAGCCTTATCCCCCTCTAGGGGTATTTTAGTGATAGGTTCTATAGGAACTGGACGATCCTATTTGGTCAAATACCTAGCGACAAACTCCTATGTTCCTTTCATTACGGTATTTCTGAACAAGTTCCTGGATAACAAGCCTAAAGGTTTTCTTCTTGATGAGATCGATATTGATGATAGTGACGATATTGATGATAGTGACAATCTTGATGCTAGTGACGATACCGATCGTGACCTTGATACGGAGCTGGAACTGCTAACTAGGATGAATGGGCTAACTATGGATATGATGCCAGAAATAGACAGATTTTATATCACCCTTCAATTCGAAATAGCAAAAGCAATGTCTCCTTGCATAATATGGATTTCAAACATTCATGATCTGGATGTGAATGAGTCGAATGACTTAGCCCTCGGTCTATTAGTGAATCATCTCTCCAGGGATTGTGAAAGATGTTCTACTAGAAATATTCTTGTTATTGCTTCGACTCATATTCCCCAAAAAATAGATCCCGCTCTAATAGCTCCGAATAAATTAAATACGTGCATTAAGATACGAAGGCTTCTTCTTCCACAACAACGAAAGCACTTTTTCACTCTTTCATATACTAGGGGATTTCACTTGGAAAAGAAAACATTCCATACTAACGGATTCGGGTCCATAACCATGGGTTCCAATGAACGAGATCTTGTAGCACTGACCAATGAGGTCCTATCGATTAGTATTACACAGAAGAAATCAATTATAGACACTAATACAATTAGATCCGCTCTTCATAGACAAATTTGGGATTTGCGATCCCAGGTAAGATCGGTTCAGGATCATGGGATCCTTTTCTATCAGATAGGAAGGGCTGTAGCACAAAATGTACTTCTAAGTAATTGCCCCATAGATCCTATATCACATTGGTTCTATGCCACTGTAATGGAGCAACGGAAAGGCTTATCAGAAATTTGGCTGAATGAATACTGACGGATGGGATGAACAGCTAAGAATATGAATTTTCTTCTGAAAAAGCAGCAAAAGTAGCTATTATAACGGATTTGCTTGGTGTCCGACCTACCCAGCGCGGTAAAGCTGACTTAACCCAGCATGGTAAAGTTTACTGCTTGTGAAGTAGTGGTTGAAAATTAGTACTACTATATAGCGCGGTACTGAAGAAATTAAAATATAATTAAATATTCTTTGATAGTTGTCTCAGTAGTACCCTGTATAAAATTCTTGAACAAATAGAATATGAGAATTGAGAGAAGAGCAGTACATAGGACTTAAAAAGAGGGTTCCTTCCTTTCTTCACTCTCCGAATTTAGACCATCCCCATGGGGGTGGTGATAACATCAACGGACATTGGGGCTGACCTAACAGGCCATTGCATGACAAAAACCTAATTACATTGCCATTTGTCCACATCTTCCCACAAACATATAATATCTGTTCTAAGGCTGTTGATCATTGTCAAGCTACTCATCAACACCAAAATTGTTCACAAATTTTAGCTTGCTTAGCACCCAGAAAAGAAACATTCCCATAAATCATACAGCAGCAACTAAAAGCCAAAATATAGATTAGCATTCTCTTCTGCTAAGGGAAGACCAACACAAATTCTCCTACCTGATCGGAATGGAAGCTCACAGGCTTGAGTTTGTAGGGGCCTTTCAACACACTTAAGGATCCCAATGAATAGCTCATACATTCGATAATGCTACGAGTATCAAATATTAGCCCTGGTAGTGCATGGTTTAACCGAAACATCCCCGGGGTAAATCAAAGGATCCAAAGAGCTCTCTACTGAAATAGATTCAAGTCACACCGGGGTAATCATTCAGTACCGTAAGCTCTAATACTAGTCTTACTAATAGCTAGTTTACCCGAGTGATGGGACTAACGTAGAAACAACATTGTGATGCTCAAATTCAGACCCCCCCAACCGTCATTCAAACAGTCGAAAGAACAGAGTACATTTAAGGAACTACTCATTCAATTTAATTCAAGAGCAATCTGCAAAACCTAGATCATAAAGCAGAGAAATCCTTGTCACTATCGAACAAAATTATACTGTAATCCACCAACGGAAAAGAAAATTTAAGCATACCAACACAAAATCCCCTAAAATATCTTAAACATATATCGCCCGGAGCACATAAAGAGAAAGCACATAACAAACTGAAACTGGCAAGTAGATGATTTATCTCTTTTTGGAGACACCAACAGTCTTCCCCCTGCGCCCTGTGGTCTTTGTGTGCTGACCACGCACTCGGAGACCCCAGTAGTGACGTAAACCACGATGATTCCTGTAACCATCAGATGATATAAATTTAATAAAGATGAAAAAATAAAAAGCAAACACAGCGAAGCAAGGTTTAGAAAACTACTACTCATCGACCATATGTTTTCCTTAGTTGAGAACTACAAGTGAGAATTCACCATATTTTGATTACCAAAGACAAAGAGGAATACTTAAACAGCAAAAGCAT